GTAGTTCACTGAGGTTCACAGTGGTATAAAAGACCTAAGGATGCTTTGTGATTCTTGTTTGAAGTTAATAAAATCTTTTGAGTTCTTGCTGTAAAATAGTACTAGAAAAATAAGAAAGAGAAATAATAGTACTCGTTAGGTCTAGAAACTTCATTATACAGTGTGACTCATCTATGCCCATGATATTGCAAGGCAGAAATAATATTCTTCTAATGCTTTACCTACTCTGTTTTTTAAATATTTGTTACACATCATATTATCTAGCCAAAATATGACTAGAGACAAAATGGCTACGCTTTAAGGCATTTTCTTGATCCTCAGATCAATCATACGCCAGCCCTAACATAAAATATACCAGCCTAAAGGCTGTTGTAAGTTATATTAACCGCCACCAGTACAAAGGGACTTCTTCAGCAGTTGGACATTTTGAAAATACAGGGAAACTCCAGTCACTTCCTTCACATTGCCTGTAGGGCTATGTAAATCCTTGTTACCAAAAGATTATCCCTCTACAGATGACCTTTGGTAGCCAGATGTAATAGCATTAATACTATTTTATATTGTCTGGAATAAGGTTTCCAATTTTTATTTTAGTAAAAAGTCCACCTCTATAAATATGATGAATATGGAGTTTTACAGCAGTAGAAAATACACCTATTTACCCAGAAAATTTTTGATAGCTTTAATGTTGATTATTTGCTCTGACTGTAAGTGCACTGGTCCTATTAGCAAACTCAAATGCCCCTTCTCATAGAAGGTTGCAACTAAAATAAGTAATGGCCAGAATGGTATCAGAAAACCCATGACTACCATCTTGTGTTTTCTGCTGTTGTATTAGAGAGGTGAATTGTTCCTGAAAGTGCAACGCAGAGATAAGAAGATCTGTTAGCCATAGCTTTTATAGAATTCCACAGAGGCTGGGGGTAAACCAAAATGTTTAAGGTTTCTTGTTATGCAGTCCCTAATAAATGTAGTGGTTGAAGTAAGGAAACAAATAATAGAAAAGGTGTATAAGACTAATATTATATTAAATATATTAGAGGTATTTTCTAGATGAGAATTTGTCTAAATCTGTAATATGATTATAAGATTTATCTCTTGATTATATGCTGATCTTGTGCTTAGATTATGGTAGTTAACAATATACAGATCCTAGTTATGGTGTAATTTAGCTATTTGAACCTTCTCACCTTTCTATTTTAATTTCTTTTCCTTCTGTTTGAACTAATCAGTTAACTGGTGGACTATTTCTCTAGAATATACAACACATTCTAGAGAGGAGTATATAAATACATGAAATTTCCAGAGGGAAATCAGAGATCACTAATCATAGGCATTCTGCAGTAGAGAAAAGACTTTACATAATTAAAAGATTGTATTCTTTGTTCTTTACTGAAAGAATTATCTCTGTTCTAAAGAACACTCAAGAACATAATTGACTTAAAGCACTTCTTAAAGATAATGATGTGCTTACATACTTTATAAAAGGTATTTAAGTATATATATGTAAGTGCTTTCCAGAATCAGGGCTTTAGATTTATTGCTTTGTGGCACCTTACACCTACACAGCCAGAGGTAATGTAAATTGGTGTGAGAGGCTAAACTCTCAGAAATTTTTCCCATACATTTCCAATAAAAGAAACAACTGAAAGAAAAATAATCTTGTGACATTGACATGATGGTTGCTGAAGCTTTTAGCGTCTACAGGATTTTGCTATTTTACTGGGTTGTAACATAATTACTACCTTTGATTTTAAAAGGTAAAGAAATCCTTTGTAATAGTGCAGTAAAAATGTATATTATGTGTAAAATACTGTATCAGCCATCACAATAATATCTTAATGATAACCTCCTTAGATTGGGAGGATACTTTTCATAGTCACTATATTAAATAGATGTATTACTGGTAATTAGGAGTGTTACAACAGTAAGGCTTATTCACTGAAGTACTTTTCTTTTTTCTTTATCAGATGTGAAGCAAAGGAATGGACAAATGTTCTGTTTTCACAAAAGACATTTGTGTTCTTACTTCATTTTTTTTCCTTTCATTGTCACTTGGAGTTTTTATGTGGGCTATGATTGCTCTACCAGTCTCTCCTCCCTTCACATCTATAACATACAGGTAGTATAACAAAAAATGGATGTTTGTATTTAATTTTGCTTTTTATTTTCCTTCCAGGTACTGGATTAAATAATGGCCAATGGCATTCTGTATCCTTCTCTGCCAAAAGGAATCGTATCAGTGTAATAGTGGACAATGATGTGACCTCATCTGCTTATGCCTCCGTGCCTCTGCAAATTTATTCAGGAGATGCTTTCTACTTTGGAGGTGAAATACATTGTTTATTTATGCTGGCAATATCCCACAGTTAAACATCAATTTCTCCTGACATATCTAATCCAATGGCAAGGGTTATTTGGCTTGCCTCAAGTCTTCTTTGCCTAGCTGGTTTTCAGGTGCTGCTATGATGTTTTTGAGTTTTTCCTTAAAATTATATAATGTTGGGTAGAATAAATTACCACCCTAAAATCCTTGGTCACTTTTTAGAATGTCGTTTTCTAGTATCGTGCTCTGATAATTGAATATAGTCTGGCTGACAATCAAACAGACACACAAAGGTGTCTCTTGTTGCACACTTATTGTGTTGCCAAATTAATTTTTTGTGAGAATCTTCCATTGGGATGACTTCAAGTTTTCACCTTAAGTGAATGCTTACTTAGTTGTGCAAATATCCTCTTTACATGATACACACCCTTAATTTTTTATTGTTTTATACCACAGTGACACAACTTTCCTATGCTTGGAGAATATAACTTGTGCCTAAATACTATGTTTAGAAATCTTCATTTCCCTAGGAATATTGACAATTATCTGTCACGAAGGGATTTTGTCATTAATCACATCTATTGTTACTGATAGAGCTGACCAGGTTGTTATGTCTAAATCAGTTTGGAATGGGCTACATAATAGCAATGTTAAACAGCATCTGAATGCATTATTCAACACTAGCCTAATGCTTCATCTCTTGGCAGCTTAGGAATTCATGACTGAAATATTTATTAAAAATTCTCAGATTTCTAAGAAAATTGAAAAATGCATACAAAACCCTAAATGAGTGTGGACCAAGTCATTGTCCACAGATCAGTTCCCTTGAAACAATAAGTTGTAATAAATTTCATGCTCACAAGCAGACCTTAAATATAGGAACTGCTACATGAGCATCCATGTGACTTTTCACATCTGACATCTAGCCTTCTCTACTAAAGATACCCCTTGACCTGGCTGGTAATCAGAGAAAGATATGGAATGTTGGCCTTGAATAGCCAGAAAATCTTGGGGTTTTTTTTGTTCTATGCTGCTTCAGGTTCCTACATCTCTGATTAGGTGATTTGCACCATTGCAGGGTTGATGCCACAGGTGAACAGATCAGGAGGGATGTGGGCAGTTGCAAAAACCAACATATTCAATTAAGTTGTACAAGGGCATTTTTACTTATCTTTTTTTGGGGGGGAGGGGTCAAATTAATTCCAAGAACATTGAAAGTACTAACTGCATATCCACCCCTCAGCTTCTCTGAGTTCAGCTTTACTGCTGAAATCAGCAGCTCGTGCATGTTGTACAAACTTGGGGAAGAACAGTAGAAGGTTTCTGAATTTATAAAATTGTTTATTAAATTTTTATATCATATACCACTGTCAAAATGCAGACAATGCATTTTGACTTTCTAAGTTTATATGAATATTTACCATGTTTCTGTATGCTGGTTGTTAAAACAAGAATATCAGCCTTTCTGGGGAGGTGTCTTGGGGACATCATGGTTAGTTTGCTTGTTTTAATGAATACAAAGTATGCAAGAAATGTGTATGCTTAGCTGGGAAAATCTGTAATAAACATGAAAATATTTTAGTGCTATATCAGCACAATTTCTAGTCATGTTATCATCAAGGCTATACTACCTGTCTCAGTTCTTGGAATAATAAGGGCAAAAAGAGATTATTTAATATTACAGTAAGCACATAGGGTAAATTTCACTATTAAAGGATTTCTTTCTATCTTTAATATCCAGCCCACAATTATAAGGAATCCCAGTTTCATTAATATTAATGATGTTGCCTTTTCTATATCAGAACTAGAAGACAACTTTTAAAAGACAGACACCAAGCAAAAAATCTGAGAGACAATTTTGTAGAATAGCTAAGTGTAAAAGATATAAACTTTTCTGCCTTCTCTGGCTTTTTTTTTTTTTTTTTTTGATATGAGCTCCACTGGAAGTATCTAATTCTCAAATGAGTGTCAGATTTTTCACCAGAAATGACAGAGTTTATTCTACCATTTTGTTGTAGAATGCTGTAAAGGATGTGGTCAGACCTGTAATTGATTTGTCTAACTGTGTGTGGTGCTGAAAAGTTACTGTGCTCCTATTTGGACTTTTGAAAGTCCACGGATTTGTTGTTCTTAAAGCAATATACCAAGTAGATAATAAACATTTTCTTTTAGAAAGGTACTAACAGTTTTGAACAGTTTGGTTCCTCACCAGAGTAAAACACACTGAGAATTTATTTACTTATTTCATTTCAGTTTTAGTTCATTTTCTATTGTATACTTCTTAAAAACATATCTATACTATTTATGTTGTTGTACACTCATTTGAATAGATTTACTAGTTTCCACTGACATTTTACTTTCCTGTATAGTAAACCTCTGCACTGTCTTTACAGGACTTCAGAAAGTACCCATTAGCTCTGTGGAATAGAGAAGTGTCTTAAAAGTCACTGCTTCCTAACATCTTGAAACAAGAAGGTCTTTGAATGCTGTGAACCAGAATGCAGTATTGTTTGACTAAGATCAGAGAACAGCCCTTGTGCATCGTTCCAGATGCAATATTACCCTTTAGAAGAAAGCCAAAGAAAAAAACATTTAGGCATATTTTGTTATGCAGTGTTCAGCTGCTGCTGGGAAAAGCTGCTCAATGGACATGGTTTAAATCAAATCAGGATCAAAGCAATTTATTGATTTATTAACAATATTTAATTAACTAGCAATCAGTGAACAGACATTTCAGGATCAGTAAATCAATAGACAAACCACAATATTAGATACTTACAGAACATTATTCATAGGTTGGGTAGGACATCCAGACACTGTCTAGTCCAACCCTCTGTTCTGGACAAGTCTGATTAGATCAGAATGTACAAGGCTGTGACCACTCAAACCTTGAACAGCTCCAAGGATGGAAATCTCGTAACACCTCTGAGCAAACTGTTCTAATATTGACCACCCTCATGGTAAAAACAGTTGTTGCTAATGTCTGATCAGAATTTGCCGGTTTTTACTTTTGTCTTTTGCCTTTTGTCCCACCACTGTGCACTTCTGGAAAAAGTCTGGCTCCATCTTCTCTGTATCGTCTTATCAGACAGCTTTATCTTCTCTTCTTAAGACTGAATAGACCCAGCTCTCTCAGACTCTCCTCATACACCCTGCATTCAGCTCCCCAACCATCTTGTAGGCCTCTGAGGGACTCACTCCAGGATGATGATGTCTTTCCTGTACTAGGGAGCTGTCGTGGTTTAACCTGGCAGGCAG